GGCGCAGGGGGGGGCAGAGACACAGAGAATCAAAATCATTCCTTCAGCCCCAGCAGCTCTGGCTCCGTGGAGAGAGAGTGTCGGCCCGTGGACTGAAGGGTCCCAGGTTCGATTCCAATCAAGGGCACGTACCTCAGTTGCAGGCTCCATCCCCAGCCCTGGTCGGGGTGTGTGCAATCGATGTTTCTCTCTCTCTCTCTCTCTCTCTCTCTCTCTCTCTCTCTCTCTCTCCTGGGGAAAAGGGAATAAAGTATCAGAAAAGTCTCAGAGGTGACCGGTGCAGAGCAGGGTCCATGGGATTGGAAGTGATGCAGGCCAAGAGGCACCTTCAGCGAGGCGGTCAGGAAAGGCCCCTCCTGGGAGGTCACGGGAAGGTCAGGAAGGGTACTCCTGGCGGCGGGCACAGCTGGTGCAAAGGCCCTGGGGCCGGAGCAAGCTTGCAGAGCTCGGGAGTTGAAAGGTCAGTGAGAGCAGGTGGGGCCGGGTCAGGTGGGGATTATGAAGAGGTCAGCAGGGCCCCCTCACCCTACCTACTGTTAGTCCCTAGCACTCACAGCCTTTCTGCATTTACTGTGCTCTTCCCACCGACATCCAGTCCAACGGCGAGGGCAGGAGTCTCCACGGAGGGTCACTGATCATTCCCTGACGCCTGGCCCCGTGGCGGGTCTCAGTGGTGTTTGTTTCACTAAGTAATTCTCGGCCCTCGGGAACTGCCCAACAACGTGAAGGTTGGGGCTGTCGCTGGGGTCCAGGCGGCTTTGTGAGGGGGTGAGCCTCCCATCCCTGGAGGCATTCAAGCGGAGCTGGAAGAACACCCGCTGGGGCCCCTGAGGTGGGGATGATGGGGCTTCCAGGCTCTTTCCCACTCCCAGAGCTGCCGGATCTGCCCCCTGCTCGGTGCCGGAGGGCCGCCAGCCCCTGACCCTGCTGGACAGCCAAGGACAGACGGCACCTGTGCAGCTGGGACACAGGTGCAGGAGCTCAGAGGGCCGCATCACAAAGCGCAGCCCTTAGGCTGCTGCACAGGGATGTGCTCCTGATGGGGGCAGGGGAGGAGGCGGAACAGAAGAAAAAACTTGGTGCCAGCAGCACGCATGGAGCGTCAGGCGGAATGGACTCAAATCCTCCTTCACAGGCCCCCTGCGCGGGGCACTTCCTGCAGACAATTGCAACGCGCGGCCTGCGGGGCCCGACTTCCTTTGTGTTAACTAATTTCTGACTCGGGTTTTCAGCGACTTATTTCCAGAACAATGCGCTGGCTCTCGGCATCCCTGGCCCAGGCGGCGATCTTCCTGGGGGTGGGAGGGCGCGTGGGCCCTCCCCGTCTCCCCTGTGGCAGGAGGAGGAGGGAGGTGTGAACAGCCACCTGGAAGAGGTGGGGTGAAGTGGCCAAGCCCTGTCCCCAGCAAGGGGGCGCCTCATTTGCAGCCTCCGGAGCCAGCATGCCATGGAGGACCCCCCAGAGGGATCTTGGAGACCCTTGAAGATTTCGGGGGGGGGGGAGGAGAGGGGAGAGAGAGGGTCCAGCCGCAGAAGGGACGCCTCCTCACGCAGTCATTGCCCGAGGCTCCCAGGACCCTGCGAGCACACTGCCTGCTTCCCCTGCCCTATCATCTCCTCCAGTTTCTTCCCGCTTCCTCTGGGCCGGCGTACCGGCACGTCCTCTTTCCCATGGAAAGGTCCTCTCCGCTCTCCGAGGACACCTGTCGAGGGTGAGACCCGGCTCTGCGTACGATTCCTACCAGACGCGCTGATCAGGGCGCCCTGTCGCTGACAGAAGAGCCGCACGCGGGCACACAGTGTGGCCGCTGTCATCACGCCTGTGACGCGTCGAGTGGGGGGGATTGGGTTTATTCACGTGCTGTTCTGTGGCTGACGAGGCGGACGCGATCGGGGAGACTCCTCATCAGCCCCCGTGCAGACGGGGTGCTCCCCGGCGCCTCCCGCCGGCCGCGCACCCTTTGCACACGGCAGTTGGCTGAAAAATAATAATAGTGATATAATCACTGCCCCCTCGCGGAGCTGCGTTCCCGCCTGTGACTCAGATGAATCCTCCCGGTGCCTCGCCCGGACGCGGGCGGAAATAAAGCATCTGAGAGATAGCGGTTCTGAGCAGCAGTGACCGCGACTCCAAGGCCAGCAAGTGTGGCCGGGTTCCTGCCCCGGCCAGGCCTGGGCACCGAACGGGTCAGAAGTGGAGCCAGGCCTGGCTGGTCTGGTTCAGTGGTTAGAGCCTCGGACCTCATACTGAAGGGTCTGGGTTCGATTCCCGTCAAGGGCACGCACCTCAGTTGCTGGCTCAATCCCCAGCCCAGTCTGGAGCATGTGTCTCTCTCACATCGATGTCTCTCTCTCTGTCTCTCCCTCTCCCTTCCACTCTCTCAAAAGAAATCAATGGGAACATATCCTCGGGTGAGGATGGACAAAAACAAAAGTGGAGCTAGAGACGCCTGCCTTCCCACAAAGGACCCGCGTGGCCAGGTGAGGCGGCAGTGATGGCGGAGGGGCCAGGCTGGAAGCGCTCGGGGTGGAGGTGGAAGAAATGGGGAGGCCGTGAAGGGTTTGCGGGCAAGACCACGGCAGAGCCCACAGAGGCGACTGCAAGGCCTCGATGCCCACGGCTTCCAGAACAGACTGCTGTCCGCTGCCGACCGCCTCCCTCCTGCGTGTCTGCAGCTGCGCCGGGAGAGACGGGGGCCCAGGACACCTGGGCTACGAGGTCCAGGGCTGCGGCCCGTAAATGGTGAAAAGCAGACACACAGTGAGCGCAGGCAGGTCGTCCCCCCGTGGACCAGGCAGCGTGGAGGAGAGAGAGGGACCGACCCTACCAGCTCCCTACCCTGCGTGCCACACAGACAGCCTTGCCATCGATGTTGGGAATAGATGGGGCCGAGTTTCCAATCTCCGAAATCACGTTTTTCTTTCTTTATCATATATAAGAGGAAGGGAGAGGGAGAGAGGGATAGAAACATCAATGATGGGAGAGAATCATTGATCAGCTGCCTCCTGCACGCCCACCCCACACTGGGGATCGAGCCTGCAGCCGAGGTACGTGCCCTTGACCGGAATCAAACCGGCGACCCTTCAGTCCGTGGGCCGACACTCTATCCACTGAGCCGGACCAGCTAGGGCTGACCCAGTATTTTTAAATCATGTGGCCCAGGCCCATAGATCTCTGCTCCCGGGTAATCGGAGCAACAGCCCCAGCCCGGCACACCGAGCCCCGATCTCCCTTCACACGTCACACTGTGAGGCAGGGACCACTGGCTCCATTGTACAGATGAGGAAACTGAGGCTCAGAGAAGGTCCCAGGCAAGGGGCAGACGTGGGATTCGAATGAATGACCTGGCAGACTCCAGAGCCCAGTTCTTAACTGTTGGGCGATGGTGCCCTTTGGAGACATTCGAACAACCTGAGGCACTTCACAGCCGGGGACGCCGGGGACGCAGGGAAGGCCTGGGACCTCACGGATTCCAATCACTCGTAACTATGAACCTATCTGATCCCACAGGTGGGGAGGCGGATAGGAGAGGTTTTGCTGTCACCCACAACTGATAAAAAAAGGAGCGATCAGAGAGGGGCAGACACAGCCAAAGGTCACACAGCCAGTTCCCATCGAGTTAGGCCTCGCTTCCAAGCAGGCCTCATCCCTCAACCCCAGAAGTAGCCAGATCTCAGTAAGGCCTGCCCGAAATGTGCCCCGGGGCACCCCACTCCGGCGGGCACCAGGCCACGGACGGGTTTCTCTGTAAGTTCACGCAGCCCTCCCGCCACGCACGCATGCCTGCCTGTCAGCCCGCCGCTCTGCCCTCCGTCTTCTCTCGCTAATTAATTTGGATGGAGATGTCTTTCAAAGGAGACTTGGGCCGGGTCCTCCCCGCTGCCTGCGAACCAATTTCATTACAACAGGAACCGTGTTGCCAAAATGAGAAATCCCCTCCTTTTCGGGCCTGTGCCCTTGAAGGCATCTTATTAGAAAAGACCATTTCTTAATTAACATTTTTGATCTTTAATCCATTACACGTCCCTTTAATCCTGCGCGGGTGCGTCTGGCCCACTTCCGCGGGCTCGCGCACAGCGGGATGGCCGTGGACCGTCTGCGGCTCCCGGACCCGCCCTGGTCCGGCCGCGGGCACATTTCCTGAGCGGGAGCCGGGGAGGGGGCTCGGCGAGGACACCCCCCGGGTGGGCCAGTCTGCAGATGCGAGTTCATTTCATTAACCCCTGAACCCCGTCTCTTCTCGCCCCAGAATCTTTCCAGCAAACGAAGCCAGGCTGGTCTCCCCTCCCATGTGCAGAAATCTCAGGCAACATGTCCCCCTCTGTAGGCAGAGCTGGTCCCAGCAAGGTCAGAGCACCCCACTTTGGAAAGCTCTGGACTTGCCCAGTGACCCCCCTCCTTCCTGAAAGACTTTGGGGGACCCTGCGTTTCCTCCTACCTCCCTGACCTCCCAGAGACTCCTCGATCTGCCTCATCCCTCATCCCTCGTCCCTCGTCCCTGCCTCCGATGCATGCCTCCCTGGACCCAGACCTAAACTCCTTTGTTCTGTCTGGGCGCACTGGCTTGGGGGTGGGGGTGCCTCCGTCCAGCTCTGAGCACCAACCACACACTCATGACACCCAGCTACACCCCAGTCCCAGCCTCCCCCCATCGCGGGACCGTCCTCCGAGTGCCGACTGATGTCCAAGAGTCATCCCAAACTCACGGCCAAGGCCTAGCTCGGCAGCCTCACCACCGTTATTCGCCCCCAACGGCCCCCCTCCCCCGGGAACCCCATCCCGTGAAGGGCACCTCCAGCCCCCCAGCTGCCCGGAGCCGTCTGCTTCCTCTCCTTTTCTCAGTCCCAACACCCAATCTGGAGACCAGTTCCATTGGACCAACCTCCCGAGGAAATCCTTTTTTTTAGTATATATTTTTATTGATGTCAGAGTAGACAGACGGAGAAAGAGAAACATCAATGATGAGAGGGAAGCACTGATCAGCTGCCTCCTGCGAGCCCCCTACTGGGGATCAAGCCCACAACCCGGGCCTGTGCCCTGACCGGGAATGGAACCGTGTCCTCCTGGTTCATAGGTCAGCGCTCAACCACTGAGCAACACTGGCCGGCCCAAAAGAAATTCGTGACCCCTTCTCACCTCCCGGCCTTGGCCCCAGCCGCCATCATCTCTCCCTGGATGAGCACCTGGGTGGGCTTCCCCTGCCCACACACAGCTGAAGGGGTCCCTCCGCTCCCCACTCTCCTGGCTTCCCTTTACTCAAGGTCAAACCCCCAGAGCCCACGAGGACTTGAGGTCCCCCCACCCCAGCTCCTCCCTCATCTCCTGCCCCTCGGCCCTGGGTTCTCCGGGGACAATGTACTCCAGCGACAGGGATGACAGGGACTCCCTTCTGTCCTTCAGTGACACGGCTCGCGCCTGCACGGCTCACTCCCTCCCTGCCCCGCCTCGACCCAGGCCTCTCTGCCCACCCTGCCACATGGCCCTCTCCTCCGCACCCGCCCTAACGGGCCACCCTGCTGGTCGCTCCCAGGGAAAACATGTGCGTATTTATCCGCTGACTCTGTCACCTCCCGCACTGGACTGCCTGCGGGGGCTCCGTGGGCCGGGTTCACCACCGAGCTTGGTGCCCGCGCTTCGTAGGTGCTCAACGGCGCTTGTGACTGACAGAAGGAAGCCTGTCGGGACCCTGTCGGCGGTGGCTCGGGCTCTCGGCCGTCACCGGCCACGGGGACAGGCCCCGCGACACCAGCGCTGAGGCCCAGCCAGCAGCAACTGCGCAGGTGGTCAGACCTTCAGTAGAACTTCCCGGCCGTGCGCAATCTGAGAGACTGTCCACCCCCAGATAGAGCCGAGCCTCCGGCTGCACTGCTAGGACCTGCGGTTGTGCTGTCGGCAGGTGGGGCGGCCGTGTGGCTGCGCACACAACTGCGGTGACACCGGGCAGGACGCCCGGCCTCTCTGAGCTGACATGATGATACCGGAGGTCCATGTGCTGCTTCGGGGAGTCAGTGAGACGACGCCTGCTGGAGGGGGGCGAGGGGCAGAGTGACAGCGAGAGGCGCGTTCGAGTCCTGCTCAGCCACTTACCCGCCGGCTGCACCCCCCTCTCTGCAGGAGCTGCAGACACACCCCAACTCCAGGCCAGGGCGGCCGGGCGCAGGGCAGTGGGCCCCCTCGAGCCACCCACAGGGA